TTTGCTTTATGTATCAGTATTGTCAAATATATCACCATTGTCTCAACTGTTGGATTTGTGAAATCACTGGCATCAAAATTGTGTATAAGTTGATCCTGCCTCATATGTTCATACGTATATGTAAAATTTTTCTTTGCTATGCTAGTATATGCTTTATCTGCAACATTGAAATTGGTCTGACATTCCCATCGAATTTTTTCCCAATTCAAAAATTCAAACAGTCAGGTGATGCGTGGTTCTTAGATTCCGTGGAGCAATCGTTGGGCTTCATCTTGGCAGACGAGGGCTTTGATGTATGGGTCAGCAATGTGCGTGGCACACGTTGGAGTCATGGACATACATCTTTATCTGAGAAAGATAAGGTAGTTAAAATCTTTACCTTTCCTGGGGTGTCAGGATTCTGTGGTTGGCTGTGCAGACAATGCAAAGCCTCAACATGATTGGAGGATAACATTAAGGTTCTGGGTTGAGGATAGCATGATAGAGTCCATGTGCATTTAAAGCTTCATTTAAGAGATGAAAATTTTTCTTTGGGAGGGATAAGGGGGTTTACCCAATAAATTTAGCAAATTTTTTAGAAAGCCCTTAATAGTATATGGTTGAAGGCAATCCCAGGTACTCTGTAATATCACTACACTGACTATTTGCTTCTCTTACAGGACTATTGGGATTGGAGTTGGCAGGAATTGGCTCTATATGATCTTGCAGAAATGATTCATTACATAAATTCAATAACAAAGTCCAAAGTTTTTATTGTTGGACATTCACAGGTTTTACTCAGTTTTTATGCAGTTTACGTGTGTTGTTGTCTTGGCCATGTTAGGTTACTTATTATATTCATTTTGCTTATAGGGTACAATTATGTCTTTGGCTGCTCTCACTCAACCAGAAGTAGCAGAAATGGTTGAAGCTGCTGCTCTTTTGTGTCCAATATCATACTTGGAACATGTCAGTGCTCCACTTGTACTAAGAATGGTTGCAATGCATCTTGATCAGGTATGTCCTGACCCTAATCAATTTTCTTGTGTCACCTGATGAAAATGTTTTCTGGTTATTATAATGCTCAGACATCTTGTTTTTCTGACAGATGGTTGTTGCTATGGGCATACACCAACTGAACTTTAGAAGGTTTAATTATGCTCAGCTGTCCTTTGTTTTCTTCCTTCCCCTTATATCTTCTCAACTGTTGTCAAATATTATTAGCAAAAATGTGTGTCTTATTGTCTAATTAGAAAGTTTAATTATATTGTTTCGTTTATTTTATTTTCAGTGATGCATTGGTTAACCTTGTGGATTCTATATGTGATGGCCATGCAGATTGCAATGATTTTCTAACTTCTATAACAGGTCTTCTACACTTTCTCATTGCTTGTGATCAGCAATTTTACCCATTTGTTCTTCATACTGTAGTGCTCATGAAGGGATCCAAGTCAAAATTACTCTCCCTCAGTGCATAGTCTCGAATTTGAAGTCATCCTTCTTGAAATTATGCCTTTGTAATTGAACAAAAAGAATTTTGTTGTTGTATAGGCCACGTAGTTCTGGTAACCAAACCTTGGCCCTAGAAAGAGCTGAGTGGCAAAGGAGAAGTTGATGAAGAAAGTTTTTGTAAACGACCCAATTCAACCTCAAAGTTTTGGAGAAACTGAATATAAGAAATTTTTCGAAGTGATCCAATTCAACCCGAAAGTTTTCGAGAAACTTAATCTAATTTATCTGGGAGGGAAATTTGTAGTCTACAGTTGATAAAACTGTAACCATGTTGTTGTAAGTTTTTGATATATGGGTCTGCAGAATGCCTGCTTTTGGAGTGAAAGTTTCACTTTTATTGGTGCAATGAATATTCTAACTATGATACTCATTAAGTGGCGTTTTATGTTTTAATTGGTTAGAAGATCACTTGCCTGCGATTACTGTGATCTATCTTTTTGTCAGTTTATATTTTAAGTTTTGTACCATCTAAAATCAGGATATTCTGGCATAAATTTTAGGACGTTCAATCCTAATCACATGATGGATGAGACCGAAGTGGGACCTACATTATGTTTCAGCCATCTCGTGACTGTGATTGGACATCCTAACATCTTTAATGCTAGGACATCCTGATTTTCTGCATCCTCTTGAACCTGTCACTCAAAGTGTCTGATAATACTGCAGGGAAGAATTGCTGCTTTAACAAGTCACGCATAGATTTCTACCTTGAATATGAGCCTCACCCATCATCAGCAAAAAACTTGCGCCACCTTTTCCAGAGTATGTTCTATACTCTTTTCTTTTGCCAGTCTTTTATTCTCGTTTGATTAGTTCTTTACATTTGTGATGCCCAATAATTTTCTTGTAATTAAGAGTTGATGACTTCATTCTTTCTCAATCAGCCCACTCCAGTCAATATCTTTTTGTTGCATGGTCCATATTTCATTTACTCAACTGTTTGATTTAATGTTTTATTCCATATAGATTTGTTGATCTAACTTTTTTGTGCACAAATTAAAATTTTGAACTAAATGTTTAAATTATTAAAGATATTTTCTTTGATCTATTTTGTTATAGATTTCACATTAATTTGAAATTTGACGAACATAATTGAATAATGCACATGTGCATGAATGTCTGTTAAATTTGAGAATTTATTTAAAAGAGGTATATACACAAAATTGTATAACTTTGTAACTTGTCTGTATGGTTAATAAACTTGAATTGCTTTATTAAAGTCTTGTTTTCATAATTAGCATTTATCTGCGTGGGTTAGTTCAATTCTTATCCCTATAAACCAAATCTTCTATCTTCTTCTTTCCTTTTGATGATTGTGGTATCTAGCATAGGGTGAACTTTTCTTTTTCAACTTCTACCAAAGAGTTACAGATGAAAAATTAATGCTGCCAACAATATCACAAGGCTGTTCACATTCCTTTCTCTGTATATGTCCATGCACCCCCATTTTTTTTAAGAATAAGTTGTTTATTGAATTTGATTCCTGCTAAGTCATTCATATTCTTTCTTTTATATCTGGCAGTGATCCGCAAGGGTACTTTCTCCCATTATGATTATGGAATGTTCAAAAACTTGATGGTGTATGGTCAGACAAAACCCCCAACATTTAACCTTAGCCGCATACCCAGCTCATTACCTTTATGGATGGGTTATGGAGGCAGTGATGCTTTAGCAGATCCAACGGATGTACAGCACACTCTCGATGAATTACAGTCCAAGCCAGAGTTGCTTTATCTGGAGAACTATGGCCACATAGACTTTGTTGCAAGCACAAAAGCAAAGGAAGATGTCTTTGATCACATGATCAGGTTTTTCAGGTCACGGGAAAAGTCAAGTAGTTTATAATATGGTGTCCTTAGATGTACCTTTTTAGTTATTTGTGTATATAATGTAATCATCACACTTTATAAGTGAACAAACAAGAAAAGCACTGGAAAGAGATTGTAACTTGTTTGATTCATGTGCAGGTGTTTGATCCCGAGGGGATAACCGCATGAAAAATGCTTTGAAGTGTCTTATTTAATTTGCTGCTTTTTTTTTTATTCCTTTTTTTGTTAACAATTTTTGTGTGCGTCAGTTTTTGATCTTAATTGCAAATCAATAGACCAGATGTGAACTTTACCAAGTTTAAACCACAATTGAAAGTATTTTTCAATACTAAACCTCTCAGAATTTAAAAACTACATTGATTTTTTATTAATTTAGAAGTGAGTTGGATTAGGTTTTGAAAAGAAAAAATTCCTTCAATGCTGTTTTTATATTCATAAGTTTTAAACCTGAGATTTTATTTTTAAAGAATAAATTTTTTTTTATTCAAATCAACAAACCGTAGAGTCACAATTGAGAGTTTTGAACTTGTGTTTTAGGATGGTGGTTTGCACAATTTTTTCGTCATTTGGCCAATTCAATGGGTTTCTCGTGTGGTTTGTCTCACCGCTAAAAAATTTTCGACTTGTAGTCCACTGGAGGCTAAATCCTCTCCAGTCACTTTGATGATGTTTATTAAAAGATTTTGGGGTCGATGTTATCCTTGGGCTGTTATGGCATGTAATGTTCACAAAGAAGATTGAGAGAAAGGAATGTTTGGTTTTCAAAATGATTTTGGGAAAAGGAAAAGAGGGATCTTATCATTCCTCAGAGGGTAAGTTGAGAGTCCTTCACGTCTGTCATCTAACCATCTAAGATTCTAACTTTCGTTTGAGACTGACTACATTTTCCCGTCCAGGCAGAAAAAAATAAAACAAAATGAATTTAATACAAAATTCTTCTTAGTTTTGGTGTCAAATATACACTAATTTTATTAAAGAAAGATTAAATAGATGCACATGATTATACTTTTTATTAACAATTTTTAAAAATTTTATGTTTGTCAATTTTAAATGTAAAATTTTATCTAATACTTATAGATTATATAATTTATATTAGAAGTATTTATGAACCAAATCTTCTAGTTCAAGTGGTTGGTTCCAACCTTGTGGCACTTGGATTGAGGAATATCACTTCTAGTTTTCAATCTTTGAGGGTCACTTGGAATGTCGTCCTCTACTTTTAAAACATACTTTATTGTAATTCTTTCAATTAATTAATTCCGTTATCTCAAATGAAAATACTGAAATGAAACTGTGTATTTGACTCATTCTTATCTTTTGTAGTAGAGAATTTGTTTTCATAAACTTTGCTAAACATGCACTAACCTCTTAATATTAGCAATTTTAATTATTTCACTTTATTTTCATTAGATTAATAATTAGAGTGTTTTTTTTAATAATTACAAAATTTCCCAACTTGGCGAATGCATGGAGCTGGTAGTTTGTGTGATGAAATCATTAAAATCATTTAAAAAAAATTAAAAACATTGTACTTCACTCATTTTTATTAAAGTTTATTATTTTGTAGTTCAAATTGTAAAATATCAATCATTAAAGGAGTCATCTAAATCTATTATTATGAAACTCTTCATTATTCAATGATAAATATTTTATAATCTAATAATATAGTCTAAACTATAAAATACTTTTGTTGTTATTAATACCTTAACATTAACCTTTGCTGATTAGGATAAAAAAAAAAAAAAAGAAGAAAAAGAAAAAGTTGCGCTGCCTGCATGTACAATATCAAAAGAAGATTCTTAGGTGCAATTTGTAAGGCACATGTACCATTGAAATGTTGTTAGGTTTGCTCGTTGTTAAGATGGATGGAAGTCTCTAGCCAAGTCAAGTTCTCATTGTGAAGTAAAGAAATATTTCATGCAATTATATCGACGTGGTCAATGTACACTAGTATATTATTATATCCGTACTTTTCATTCTACTTTTAGCCGCCATTTTCCGGGTTGGAATTTAACTGAAAAAATTATTTAAAAAAATTAATGGGGATAAGTTCGAACAGGACATGCCCTTGAAGGAGTTCTGATGTGTAAAGCATGAGGCCGTCAAGTCTATCTAACAGTCTCATTCTCTATTCATTCGTCTCTTTGAAATGAGCAGGTACACTGTTATCAAAATGATTATTTTTTCGTTAAATGCTGGAGGTGTAGGGGGTGGGGTGGCGAGAAGGGAGATTAGAGATCTGGTCCATAAAAAAGATGTGGAGTTTTTAGCGGGACAAGAAACAAAGTTGGAATCTATTAATGATCAGATTTGTCGAATTATGTGAGGTAGAAGGGAGTACGATTGTGAATTTAAGCCATCATTTGGAAGATCTGGGGGTCTCTTGTGTATCTGGGATCCACAAACTTTTAAGGAAAGGGTGTTTGCTTGTAGCAATTTTTTGGGAATCTTTGGATTTTGGGGGCAAGAGAAGGTTCCTATATACATTGTTAATGTGTAGTCACCATGTGATTTAAATGGTAAAAGATCTCAATGGGATGAACTGAGGAACTTAATCACTACCAATAGAGGCAATTGGTGTGTTGTAGGTGATTTTAACGCTATGAAAAAGCATAAAAAATGTACTAGAAGCAAAGGAAGTGCTAGAGAAATTACAAAGTTCAAAAATTTCATCATTGATTTTGGCTTGATTAATTTACCATTAATAGGAAGAAAATACACATGGTATCATCCAAATGGAACCTTGATGAGTGGATTGGATAGATTTTAGTCTCGGAGGAATGGCTACTGAATTGGGAAGATGTGAGGCAATGGGGATTGAGAAGGTCTATCTCGGATCATTGTCCAATTTTGCTAAAGAACCAAAAAGTGGACTGGGGCCCTAAACCTTTTAAGTTCTTTGATGTGTGGATGAAGTGGCCAGGATTCAAGAAGTTAGTATTGGATTCTTGGTCATCTATTGAGATTCATGGGTGGAAAGGCTACATCTGAATGAGAAATTGAAAAGATTGAAAGGTGCTCTAAAGAATTGGAGCAAAAATTATACAATGGAGGTGGATGAGAAGATTTCTATTATAGAAGATAAAATTGTAGAACTTGATAGGAAAGGAGAAGGGCAAAGCCTTATTATGGGAGAGGTGCAAACCAAAAAATAAGCATTTGTAGAGCTCTCAAAGAATGTTAGAATCAAAAATAGGATATGGCATCAGAAACTTCAAAGATTGTGGTTATGGGAAGATGATGCCAATACATCTTTCTACCATAGATGCAACAAGAGTCGATTGATGAAAAATGAAATAAACAACATTATGGTTAATGGTTGTCAATGTGTTGAGGTGGATGACATTAGAGAGAAAATTGGTAAATATTTTGAATCCTTGTGTAAGAATGAAGAATGAGTTAGACCAACACTTCATGGGGTGAATTTCAATCAAATATCTGAATCATAGAATCAACTGCTCACAGCTCAATTCTCAAAGGACAAAATTAAAGTAGCAATTTGGGGTTGCGATAACTTAAAGGCATCAGGTCTTGATGGTTTTAACTTTAATTTTATCAAGAAAAATTGGGAGATAATCAAATGGGAAATCATTGATTTTATCAAGGAGTTTCATGACAAAGGAAGGATTGTCAAAGGCTTAAATGAATCCTTTGTGGTTTTGATCCGTAAAGTCAGTAATCCAAGAAAGATTAAGGAATTTAAGCCAATCTCATTCATCAATGTACGCTACAAAATTACGTCAAAGCTACTTACCAACAGATTGAGAAGAGTGTTGCAGGATGTAATCGGGGAAAATCGAATGGCTTTCATTGCTAGAAGACATTTGCTTGAGAATGTGGTCATTGCAAATGAAGTGCTAGCTAAGGCAAGGAAAAAGAATTGAGCTTGCTTCTTCTTTAAAGTAGATTTTGAAAAGTCATTTGACAATGTTTGTTGGAGTTTTTTGGATTTTATGATGGATAAGTTAGGCTTTAATGCAAATGGCGTTCTTGGATCAAGGAATGCTTGAGATTTACATCCATCTTTGTGTTAATCAATGGCTGCCCTTCTTGACAGTTTGGAACAACTAAAGGATTGAGACAAGGTGACCCTCTAACCCCTTTCTATTCTTAATTGTGGTCAAGGGCTTGAATGGATTAATCTTAGAAGTAGTTAAACAAGGACTTTTTGAAGGTGCTCGAATTAGAAACGGAGAGTTCAAACTCTCTCACCTGCAATTTGCTGATGATACTTTGATAATGGGTAGAGTAACAAAGGAAATATTTGGTATGAAATGTACTATAAAGTGCTTAGGGTTGGTGTTGGGATTGAAGATTAATTATGCAAAAAGCCAGCTAATGAGCACAAATGTTGAGGAGTGGACAACATAAATGGCATACTTGCTAAATTGCAAGATAGGCAAGATTCCTTTCAAATATCTTGGCACTCATGTGAGAGGTAATCCAAGGAGTATCCCATTTTGGAAGGGTCTTGTCGAAGCTTTTGATAAGAAGCTGTTCAGTTGGAAAGGTTGATACATGTCCATGGGAGGCTGGATTACTCTCATTAACTCTGTGATGTCCTCATTGCCCATGTTCCAAATGTTGACTCATCTTTTCCCAAAAGGTACGTTATTTATCATTGATTCCATTTGAAGAAGATTTCTATGGGGTAGTTGTGAGAATAACAAAAAGATTAATTGGGTTAAACGGAAAAGGTGTGCAGAGGGAAAAGAGATGGAGGCTTAGGGAGTAAGGATCTTAGGTGCTTAAATATTGCTCTTTTGGGAAAATGGTGGGTTGAATTATCTCAAGACTTAGGTTCCTTATGGGCTAGTGTTGGTGAAAAGTATGGACGAATAGCGAGAAACTAGGTTATTATGTTGGAGGAAGGAAAGGGAAAAGGCTTTGTTTGGTGGCAAAATATTAAGAAACTAAATAGTGTGGTGGTAGGAAAGGAGGGGTAGTTGTTAGACAATGTAAAATTAGAGTTACGAGAGGGGAATAGGTTAAGCTTTTGGCATGACAACTAGTTAGGGGTAGAAGCTTTATCTAACATATATCCAAGATTATTTCTTCTACCAACAGGTCAACAAAATATGGTTAGCCAAATGGGCACATGGTCTAATGGCCATTGGAAGTGGGACTTCAAATGGAGGCGTAATCTCAAGGAATGGGAGGAGAAACTAGAATTAGACTTGCTTGGTGTCATTTCCTTAGCCCAATGCAAATAAGAGATCAAAGACAGATGGGACTGGAAGCTGGATATCATACATGGATACTCAACTAGTTCAGTTTACAAATTGTAAAAGCCTTAAATCATGCAGCTGACGCACAAATCTCCAAGAAAGTCTAGAATCCACTGACCTCAAGTAAAATTAATGCTATGCCGTGGCTGTTAATCCAAAATAAATTGCCAACTAAATTTGAGTTATTCAAGAGGAGGGCCATAAATAGCTACAACATGACATCATGCTTTCTATGTAAAGAGGAAGTTAAGACCTTCAATCACTTATTTATACATTGTCGTGTTGCATATTCCTTATGGGGTATGTGCTTGTATTGGTGGGAAATGCAATCGGTTAGATTGAGATCCTGTTGGGAAGCTTTCTCTCAACATCTTGGACTAATTGAAGACAGGAAGCTTTTAAAAGGATGGGAGATTATATGGTATGTGTATCTTTGGTCTTTATGGCTAATTAGAAACAATTGTGTATTTAAAGGGAAGGAACTTGATGCTTAAAGGGTGTTTGACTGCATCCAAATCAGATCATGGGAATGGTTGAAAGCAAAGAGCAAGAACTGGTCATGCTCATTGACAGTTTGGCTTATAACACCACAAAACTGTCTAAAATACAGTGGGTAGCACATGAACGAAACAAGGGTATAGGCAATTCATTTATCAAAAATCACTAGAACTAAGATATGATGTAAGAATTTACACTCCTTCGTTACACATTTCATTACACACACTCCATCTCTGTTACTTTCCGTTAACTCCCAAACGCCCCCAATGAAACCTGTAATTTTATCCATTTTTCCTTCAAGCTTCAGAAAAAAGGACTTGAGGCTTTGAACTGAATCATAAACCCTCCAACACCCATTAGAGTAAAAGATACTAAAGGAAACAATAAAAGCTCAATAGTGCAAAGAGTACAAAGTTAGTCAATCAACATAGCACTTCAAACCCTTAACAAAAATGGTTCAAAAATTGAGAAAATTAACAACTACCCAGATTAAAAAAACCATGAAACCATGAAGAACTAAAGAAGACTGTTCCCATTAAAAGAGATAAAAGAAAGATTTAAACGGGCAAATCGCCATGGTGGAGAAAAGAGTTCGTAGGAACACAAGCTATTGGGTTCCTAAATGCGATTTCATCCACTTCTCCCTCAAGCTTCAGAAAAAAGGACTTGAGGCCTTAAACTAAATCATAAAGCCCCAAACACCCATCAGAGTAAAAGATACTAAAAGAAACAATGAAAACTCAACAATGCAAAAAGTACAAAGCTAATCAATCAGCATAGCACTTCAAACCCCCAACAAAAATGGTTTAGAAATTGAGAAAATTAACAACTACCCAAATTAAAAAAACCATGAAACCATGAAGATCTAGAGAAGACTGTGTCCATTAAAAGAGATAAAAGAAAGATATAAACAGGGCATACTGCCATGGTGGAGAGAAGAGTTTGAAGGAACCCAAGTTGTTGGATTCCTAAATCATTATCTTCAACCTCTAAATCCTTTCATTTGCTCTCCCTTTCCCCAACACCAAATATGGGTTCCTTTATAGCTTCCCCTTTGCTCAGCTTCATGCTCTGATGAAGAAGAGGAAAATGAGGCTGCAGATGATTAGGATGAGGATGGAGGTGAGAAGGAAGATTGATCTAGTGAGGACAATGAATAGAAAGAAGGAGAAAAGAAAGTAGAGAGAGAAAGAAAGGGCTGGGCTGGATACGTTTGGAATTAACATAATCTAATGGGGAGTGAGTGTGTGTAATGGAACAGGGTGTTTGTAGCATGTATCATTGTCCTTTAGGAAAATGATTAATACACCCTACGAAGTTACACAGTTCATTACACATTGATAATTTTTGTTACTTGCGCTATTAGCGATAACGGTTTCTGTTATTTGTGTTGTTAAAACTGACGGTTTCTGTGTGTGTAACTATGTAAGGTAGATGTATTATTGTCCAAGAATTTATGGGTTGGAGCACCCGTTATACTCTAAAATAATAAAAATTTTGCTGTTAAAAAAAAAAAGAAAGAAAGGTGCATGTGGATTGGTTAGCACCACGTAACAATTTTGTGCTGACGTAGAGCATTGATATATATTGGGCATGGGCCATGGCTAAATGCAAATGGTCATCTCAAATTCATGTGAGTCATACCCACTAAATCATATTAAGTTAGAATCTTATTTCCTTTAATGTTATATTGTAAAGACTAATTATTGTATGGGTGATTAACCTCCCACCAACACTACTACAAAAAGGCCCTATTTCGGTCAAGACCAATGACCGAATAGGGCCATATTTTGACTGAACAAAGTGTACTTCGGTCAAACTCAATGACCGAATTGTTGGTCCAAATAGGCTCTGTAGGAAATAAAATTTCGGAGAGAAATTCATCTTGATCGAAATTCAATACTATTTCGGTCAAAACTCTTGACCGAAACTTTGGCTGAGAAATCAATAAAGAAATCATTTATTCGAAGAAGTATAATGATCGAAATATTTAATTATTTTTTAATTCAATACTATTTCGGTCAAGACTCTTGACCGAAACATTGAGTGAGAAATCAATAAAAAAAAAATCATATATTCGGATAAATACAATGACCGAAATATTTAATTAATTTTTAATTCAATACTATTTCAGTCAAAATCACTGACTGAAATAATAAAACAGAATGCAAAAAAAAAATATTAATCAATTTTAATTTAAATGGTAAAAATTATAATAAAATTTGGTATTAAAAAAATCGATTTTAGCATCATCAATTATATACAATCATTATTTATTTAATTTAGTGACCTTTTTTATATAGTTTTTAATTATTATTATACATATTTACTAATAATTACAATTAAATATACGGATATGTACAAAAAAATGAAAAGAACACAAAAAAATTAAAATTTGTCAAAGGAGTCCAACATAATTACAATAATAAGTCAAATTGACAAAAGCATATAAATTAAAGTATGCAAATAAATTAACTAAATATAAAAAAAAAATAAAGATTTAAGGAAAAGTATTAAATGAAAATGGAAAATTACCTCCAAAATGTTGTCCCATTGTTCACCACCTTAAAAAACCTTGAAAATGAAAAATTAAATCATTAGTATACAATTAAAAAACCAATAGTATAATAAACATAAAAAATAAAAATAATTTTACATAACAAAACAATTGAAAAAATGAAAATATATCAGATGGTAAAGAAGGAATTAGCATTGGTTTTGATATGCGAAGATATGTATAAAACTTAAAGAGAAATAAAAATTGTGATGAACAACAAAAATAAAAAGAAAAGATGAAGAGATGAAGAAGTAATTAATGATAATTTACAAAGAATTATTGAAAGTTAGAAGAATAAGAGGTAAAGAAAAGACTTGAAGTTGGAGAGGAAGAAAGAAAACGAAAGAGAGATTGCAGAAGTTGAAGAAGTGAATAGAATAATCTGGGCTGATGTATATATAAGTTGAATATTATTTCGGTCAATAATATTGACCGAAATAAAGAGGTGAAAAATTCAAACACTTTCGGCGAAAAAATTTCGCGGGGAAGCAGGAGTAGAAGATTAATTCGGTCAGTAATTATGACCGAATTAATTCTAGCAGAAAATTGAAAAAATTTGATCAATTCGACAGCAAAGTCCAAGGGGGTGTATGGCTTTGTTTCGGTCAAAGATGCATGATCGAAATAAAATCCCCATTTTTTTTCAATTTTAAGTAATTGTTTGATTTAATTAATCATAATTTACTTATCAATAAAAAATATAATTATAATTTATTAATCAATCAATTAATCACTATAATCATAATTTAATAATCATCAATTAATTAATTAATTAATTTAAAATTTACTTATCAATTCAAGAATATTAATTATAATTTACTAATAAAT